TCTGACACGGGGTGCCCTACGTCCTGGGATCATTGAGTTGTTTGTTTCTTTTTTCTTTGATCTCCTCGACGTTTCGTTTCTCCTCATTTTGTCCCAGATTCCTTTGATTTCTTCTTCTTGAGCTTTATGGCCGCAAGTTTCCTTTGCTTGTGAACTTGTGCACTGGTGACTAGTAGTCGCTAGTGACGGCCTGTTGAAACAGCCTGCGCGTGCGATCGCGGGCAGTCAGAAAGTCGATCGCTCGCCGATCCTGCTGTTGTTTAGGATGTTTTGGTGAAATACAGTACGCAAATTTTTGTTAACAGTTAACATGTCTTAACCATGGTTTTCAACATCAAAAACATGTCAGATTTTTCAGCATGTGTGTTGTCAACTGCCTCCCTCTCCTTTCTCTGCTTGGCGTTGGGTTTGCCGTCTTCGTTTTCTGTTGGACTTCACTTGAAGAATGCCTCGGGGTCAGAATTCTTTCGCACATGCGTCGGGTGCAACGCGTGTTTTTTCACCACTGCAGCTTCCAGTCAATCAAACTGTACAAAGAAGAAGCTCACCAGGCGAACTGGGAGAGTCGGGGCAGCATGTGTAGAACTTGAACCGACTTGCACTCGTGCTGTTGTGGGACACTCGTGCGTTCATCGAGGCGCTCAGTCCTGCAAGAATGCCATAAACTTCCAGTCAAGGTCAAACATTTCCCCAGTGCGTCTCTGAGAAAACTGGGGGTCTCTGAGAAGTCTCTGGGATTCGAGCCACCGCGTGGGAGAGCCCCAATGGTGAGAAAGTCGGCTAGTCAGGGACGGATTCGAGCCGGCCCGCGAGGCCATGAGGGCCATGAGGGCCACGAGCGCAGCTCGAGGGATTTCCTTCCTTTGTGCCACAGCCTCGTCAGGGGTTCTGGGTTCGTGGTTGACTCAAGGTTTCTGCAAATGGAGTGCGATGTAGGTGTTTTGGTTCAGGAGCACCAGAAAAGACGCACCTGTTTGGCGAGGTCTTAAGCTTTGGCCTTGCATTTCTTAGCCCTCGTTTTGGCCCGGGAAGGACAGAAAGTGGATGTGGCTACTGGCTACTGTTTCCTTCATTTCTGTTTTGGAGTGTGCAAACTGCAGCCCATTGTGTATGTGTTTGCTTCTGAATCTGTGGCGCAAAGTGCAGTTCTCTGCATGAATGAGTTGCCCATTGAATCGTTGAAACCTGCAGGAATTGTTCGAAAGGCGGGGATTCGGGCTCATTTGTTGCAACTAACACCCACGCTGGTGAATCGAAACATAAACAGAAAACCCAGAAGCAGAAACTGATCTTGATCATCGCTTCCAGATCTGTTAGTTTTGAGTTGCATAAAAATCTGAATGAAGTACACGTGTTTGGTATGCTACGTAGTGTCTTTCAGTCTCGCGACACGACTGCCTCCAGGTGTTCCTCGTTCAGCGTCCCTGGGCTTAGAACGAAGTGTGAAACAACAAGGTGCTTCCAAGCACGAAGGCCTTTGGTTGCATAATGACACTGGCATAGAGCGCTCTCTGAGCATGGCCCCGGCCGCCGGCCCCTGTAAGGGCTTTGTAAGGGCACCTAGCCCGATTTAAAGTTTTAAAGGATGGGATTTGGGACGGTTCCAGAGCAACCACAGCCTGGTGAGTCAGGTGGTTTCTAAAGAGGCCGGTTGGTTACAGCATTGGTACCGCGTGAGTTCGATGGTTCCAGGGTCCAGCTATTTGGCACTCTTTGGTCAACATGCGAAAGCACATACTGTATATATATAGTTTGAACATATTTAAACATACTTTCAATACCAGAATGTTTAATCATGCTGGTGTCTACAGACATTGAGAGATATTGAGAGCTCGTGTGAACCTGACCTTGACTGACTGCGTCGCAGTTGTCTGTAGGTTCCCTGCTGCAGAAGCTGGAGTGGCTGGAGTAGAGGTTGGGTGCCTCAAAGGCAAATAGCCTTACTAGATATATAGCTTGCCACCAAGGCCACTGGCGCAATCTGCACGTTCGTGCATCATCGTCCTTATCATCATGATCATTTTCCCAGTCAGTGTCACAGGGTCACAGATTACTGAGGGCCGAGTGTCCCTGTGGGGCAGCTGATAGACAGCCAGACTCGGGAGAGAGAGAAAGAGAGACAGACCCCCCCCGTGTGGAGTCCTAACATCTCCAGTCTCTTTTTTTTTTGTGGATGGAATTTATGATATGGAATTTTATGGGAATTTTGTGTGTGCCCTCATCTGAAAAGATTGTGTTAACGAATCATCACCGTCCTCGTCAATACCCTCCTCCTCCGCCTCCTCCTCCTCATCATCATCATCACCATCATCATCATAAAGTAAGCCAGACAGATGCTTGACACTATGCGTGTTACAATAGTTCCCGACATACTTTCTTGCTCTTCTCTTTGCTATACTTGCTAGTTCCTCTCATAGCTTTTTTGGCCAGGGCATGGAATCTGTAGGGCCGGCAATGGCTGCCGCCGCATTCCTGCGTGATGCTGAGACGGTTCAACTGCGAGTGAGAGATGCTGAGAGCGCACGAGAGTTCGTCCTGGATGTATCACACTCATTGCCAGTTTGGCGGCTTGAGTGCCTCGACATTGCACTCCGTTTAACCGTTTCTTTCTTGAGACATTGTTGGACTTTGATTTGCTCGTCCCGAAAAGGTTCTCTTCCCTTTCCGTCGTGCTCAGTGCGGACTCTCAAATTCTATGTTCATTGTGCCAATCCCAATGAAGTTGTGCTAAATGCGACTCGATTGTAAATGGCCATTGCACCTCTGCACCAAAATGTGCAATGTCGCAGCCTGGGCTTTTCTGGTACACAGGCCATGTGACTGTTTCAATATGGTTTTGCTTTGCACTCCAATGCTGAGGCCAAAGCTGGGGCCGAACATCGAGCATGTCATCAGCTCAGATGCACAAGATCAGTAGAACTGAATTGGAAGACCACTTAGCAGACTTAGCACACGCAATTCATCGGATCTGGAGGCAATTCGGTCAGGCCAATCCATTTGGCTGCCTAGGCCAGTGTCCAAGTCGTCGCAGCTGACCGGTATGGCCCAGCAGGCAGGTTCCAGAGTCAGCAGCCTATTGACAACATGTGGTGATAAAAGGCTGCTAGACGCGACTGCTGTTGCAAGTGCAGCATCAACGTGAGTTAATTATATGTCATATAATATGATATATACACTATATATAAATATATATTATTTTTTGTTTAAATACACCTATCCGTTGCCGTTGCAAGTTGTAAGCGCCCCCCCCTGCCGGAGACCACCTTCTCTCTTTTTTGTTTGAGCGTAGCATCTCATTTGACCTCATGTCGATTATTTTCGAAGTTTGGCTATTCTTCTGGTTGCCTGCCCAAAAAATCATCTCTGAGCTGATGTAGGCATCGCGGCTCGGTAACGGTGCGGATGGCAGAAGGTACCAGGTAGCGCAACTAAGTGCAGAGTCGAATCAATGCCCTTCTTTCCCTTTCACCGCTTGCACAAAGTGGGTATGCCCTTCGTTTTCGCAAATGAATGGGAACGCGGCTTCTCCGGAAACATGTTGTTCTACCACAAACCGTGCAAACATGTTGAGCTACTGTATGTGCCTTGTAGCATCTTGTAGGATGCTCCCAGAGCAGGAGTCTGGAGCGGGCAAGCAAATGGGAGCTTGTTTCCAGGGCAGTGTTGGGCTACACACTATGTTGGCCATGACTGTCTGGCACTTCCTTTCCCATTTTCAGGTTGGTTGTTTGCGTGCCAAACATTAATGACAGAACAGCTTGTCTTCAGGCGGCGTCTTTGCCTAGCCCATGCGCCAGGCCAGTGCCATTGGAAAGCATTCGCAGGATCATTGGCAGAATTGCATAGAATGACAGTTTGTGTGGATGATTTCTAATTCATCAAGAATAGGCAAGAGACCAGGAGAATGCTGAAAGGAAAAGGATGAACCAAGGGAGTGCCGGGAAGACCCTTTCGGACTCCCAGACTCCGAACGGAGCATTCTCGCTCAGGGAAGGAGAAAACAGAAGGCGACTCAGGTTGGAGAAGGATGAAGGCTAAGCCGCTAAACCATGTCGGAGGATTCACAGCAGAACAAACATACTACTAGGAACAAGGTTCGCTACGAACGGTACTCCTGGCATCGCTACGAGTCCGGAGCGATGAGACGAACCGAAACGGGGCTCCAGGTCTGACCGTGCGAACGTGACCCGAATGGCCATGGTGTGCCTTGGTGCGATGGTGCTGGTGACCATCCGGTCTCGTGCATGGCATACACCACAGGACGAAAAGTCTTTTTTTTTTGGCGTCTCCAACCTAAAACAAGCCCTTTCTCCCTACAATCCTGGTCTACCCATGTGCATTTGCCATGTGGAATTTCCCTCTTCCAGGCTTTTCAAATGTTGGACATCTAAAGTCGGTGCTTGACCATCCCACATCCGTTGCATGAATTGGATTTCCAAAGCTATGACATCAGACGGTCACTATGACGTGGGGGCACGAGGAAGGAGCACACCAAACCTGCCGAGGTTTGAAAAGTTCTCGGAGAAAACCATCAGGGCAGGTCGCCAAGCGCCATGGGGTCACTGTTGAATCATTTGCACCATGAAATATGCCACACGGTGTTTTATGACCAGTTGTTATTTTTGTGACCAGTTCGCGAACGAGGCTGTAATGCTGGCCCAAGAGGAGGCCAAGAAAATCCAACAGGAAGCGACGGGCATAGTGATCCACATCCGACGTACACATGTAATTACTGAGACTGACACACAAGACGTTCCAAGCACTCAAGGCCAATGGGCGGGAATTTCTTCTCGTGTTGCGCCAATTAGACCAGACGTTCATAGACGTTCCAAGTCCAAAGGTTGCTGAGCCGAGCTTGGGCTCTTCAAGCATAATGGCGCTTTTAGGTGTCTCCTTCCCGTACCTTTTTTCTATCCCAGTTTGTGACGCGAAACAGAACTGAACTGACTTGCGCAGATGTCGCAAGCGGCGCGCCTCAGCAGGACCATGTCGGGACTGAGATGCTGGTCGTCGGATTGCTCGCAGAGGGCAGCGGTGGTGCAAAAGCGCTTCAACAGTTGGGGGTGCACTACAGTGAGGCACCGGCCTGTGACGTTGTTTCGAATGCGACCGACGCAAACTCACGGCCTGTTGTTCTTGACTGAAAGGTGACGTGGTGCTTGTAGAACGAAGATTGCGCACTCAGTTGTTTGCTGCAAATTCAACTCTTCCTGCCAGCTTGCAAACAGATATCTTAAGGCATGGCATGCCTTCCCCACACAAGATTGTCACAGCTTACATTTGAGGATTGAAGCTGGAGACCATTGGCATGTTTGTCAGCCTAGGTCGTTCAGTTGAGCGTTCGTTCAACAGGCGATGTCAATTTGGACTCACGTCTCGAAGACTTCGAGCGGATCCAACGCGGGACAGCTGCACGTGGCAGCAAAAGGAACACACCACAGACCGGCAGGCCCACAGGATAACAAGAACCACACAATGCTAAATAGGCTCCGTGGAAGGCCGCAAGGCTATGGAATCATCTGTGTAAATATACATATAAATACTTGTCATAAGCATTCATAAGCAATAATTGGACAAGGAATAGCTAAGGCCATGAAACGGTCGCGCTAGGCAAAATAAGCCGCAGAGGGGTTGATTAGTTTTTAGGTTGTGCCGTTTCCATGCCGTGTTTACAACACAGCTCAGTGACATATGTTTAAATAACACATGCCAAAAAAACATACCAAAAAAAAGGACAGACACATGCATACATGCATACAGGCATGCACGCATACATGCATACATGGAGTTTGCACAGGCCCCGTGCTATGTTCGTTTGTTTGATCCGCCATGGAGGCAAAGAGGGAGTTGGAGTTGATGGTCGGTCGTGGCAGTGGTCAGTCGCCTTGCTTTTCACATTGGTGAATGCTTTGGAGGACAGATACACCAAACAAAGACAAACATTTGCAACTGCCTGGGCCAAATTCATTCCGCTTCGCATAACTTAGCGGCATTTTGGCACATGGCCTATGTGGGCTGCTTTTCACGTGTTGCTGAGGTGGAAAGGCTGAAGAGATTCCTTTTACAACCTCTGCAAAACAAGTGCTGGAGGACATGAGCTTTCTGTGCGGATTTTGTGAGTGCACCCACCCAATTCAGAGACTTTCCTTTGGGCTGTTTTGCACATTGCAATCACTTCAAACAACTCGATATCACAGTCTTTTCCAGAGTTGTTGCGGAAACGAATGCCTTACGCCTTATGCACGGCACAGGATTCGGTGATTTGTGCGCAGGAACGAGGTCGGGGGAGAAACACATGGGATGGCGAACGAAGTCTGACGCATTTGATGCTGCCGTGCTAAGAATCACGTGAATTGATCTGTAAGATTCACCAGAATCTTAATCAAGGTTAGCCTAAGGAACGCCCATGTCACTCAATTTAGATGTTTTGATATTGCCACGTCTCGAACTCCAGGCATTGCCACCAAGCTAATCCTCATGAGAACACCTTGTAGGTTTTCTGCAGGTGCAGGATGTGTGTGTGTGTGCACATATATGTATATACACATGTATATAAGATGTATATAGATGGTACACGCACATGTCACAGACAACAAAAAGGAGCTGGAGAGCATGACAGCGACAGGTCAGACACAACAAGCACGCTCAAGGTAGCATTCGCAGAACATAGGATCGGTGACCTTAGATAGATGCGTATGGTCCGCATGATGGTTGTAGTATCTATAAATGGGTTCTTATCATTGGTTGTCCCTACCTGAACGGCGTCGAGGGTCGAGGGGGGGTAGGCTGTGAAAGCCCCAACTCACCACTCTTGTTTGAGCAACTTCCCTTCCCAAACTACTAGCTCCTTGTTAGTAATAGTAATGCCAGGAGCTACTAGTAGCGTCCTTGCTCCTAGTAGCGATGCCCTTTGTTACTATATAGTAGCTTCTTGTTACCAAACCAAATTCAAGGGCCCTTGAAGTATTTCTTAATTTTGTTGGGGCACACCGAGCCATTTAAGGTATCAAGGCGTTTGGGTGTGCATTTGTATTACATAACAATGCTTGCCTTTCTTGCAACATTGAGCACTTTCCATCATGCTCATGCTCCTTGCGTTTCGTCGTGATGTGATAGCGCACCACGTCAGAAATGGCGCAAGTGAGCACTTGCCATTTGCTTCGGGCTTTGTTGCGCCAGGACTGCAACCGATTGCAAGTAGGTTTGTTGTGAGCGACTGTACTTGGCTTGGTCCAGGCTGTTCTTCATCAGGGAGAATGGTGAGCATTCTCCTATTAATGGATATTTGGTTCCCCTAAAGTTTCAATAGGAAGGCTGCAGTGTTAGGTGCCAGATTGTAAAGTTTACCCCTTCTTAGAGCAACAAGGCCCTTGAGAAATCAACTCAAATACTTTGCAAACAAGTTTCACCCTGCCAGGAAAACAGCAATGGCTGCAAACTTCTTGGCAAAGTCCTAGCAACGGATAGCCTTCAGGCTCTTCATTGAGAGTTGTCAAGTAATTGCGTTTGGATTTGTGCTGCAAGCCCCTCAACAACTGTAAAAGCTTGAAAAATGGCAAGGCAGCGCCAGGAAAGCAACACTGGTTGAGCATGCACGGACTCATTGACAGAATCGTTCCGGCAGTTGTACCGAAAGCTTCGTTTTGTTCGTAGTCCGAACAAGACGGTGAGGGGCTCCGGGAAAGCAGCGCCGTTTGAGCGTGGAGGTGCTCCGCGAAAGGATCATGACCGCGTTGATCCAAGTGGAGTGCAACGAGACCGGTGACAAGGCCAGCGCGGAGTGTCCACAGGGTCCACAGTGGTCCTTCGCGACGTTTTCGGGCAACTCGTTTTTGTCCCTTGCGCCAATCTGAAGGAGTCGCCCCCGTAGCTTCTTGCTAGTAGCGATGCTTTTTGCTACTAGTAGCTTCTTGGTGCAGTTCAGAGCGCTGGACCTGCCACTCTGGAGCCTGTCGGAATGCCTCACGGAGCCTTTAGGGTTCTGAAACCGCAAGAAGCTTGGAGCCACTAGAGATGTATCTGCGAACCTGACCTTTGGTTGGACCTTTCGTTTGAAACCTTTCTTCAATTGGGTTCTATATTTTATTCGCTTCATCTGGAACCCTCCTCCGGAATCCAGCTCTCTGAAACCTCCATTGTGGTGCAAGCTTCATCAGAATCTTGAAGCCGATCGCTGGAACCCAAGCCACCCAAATCCTGAATTGGGCAGAGATCCCGCAGCTAGAACCAAAAGTGCCATGGTGGAACAGAGATCCCGCAGCCTCGCCTTGGAGGCTCCTCCTGGTGCCACACGAGCCAGCTCTGTTGAAGATGAAGTGGATCTGACACAGACGTGAATGATCTTAGCTGTTGAATGGAATTGCTGAAGAAAGTATGTTCCAACTCTTTCCATGTTGGTCAACGGGTCATCTATGTTTCAATCCCGGAGGCCAATCTTTGCCACTCGTGATGGCCTAGGTTGAAGTTCGGCACAGATCTTACGCAAGCTGCGAGAGAGGGACGCTTAGATCCTTTGGTGGGCTAGACGCTCAGAGATGCAACATTCTGGATGTTCCACATTCCATGGCAAACCGTGCTGCGGCAATGCTGGGTCACACCGCCGGGCCCATCGAGGTCGCAACGACGAGCTGCAGCGTACCATCCGCATCCTGGGCAGAAGGACGAAGAACAACCCAGTCCTCATTGGGGAGGTGCCACATGCATAGCAGAGAAGGCCTCAAAGTCATTGATATGTAGTACTTTGAAGTCCTTTGACACTTTGTTCTGTTTCTTGGTAGGCCGTGCAGGAAGGGCAAGACAGTAGAATCACCTACATCCCTGACAGCCGATAGACAGCCAGACTCGGCAGAGAGAGAGAGAGAGTCATGCCGCCTCTGAACACGGGATAACACGGGTATGTGCTTTGCCGAGCAACTGTTCTACTGTGAGCTCCCGCTCACTTCAGCAAGGGCCGGTGCTTAAGCAGGATGTCCAAGTGCATGCTGGACCTGCACCCTTTTTTTTCAAGTGTTTCTGCCAGGCTGGAGTTGGCAAGACCTCTATCGCATCGGTCTCAGGAACCTCTTTTCAACCGTTTCTGCATGTTTTCTGCCGTTGTACCGACGACGCCAAGAGAAGAAGTTGCCCCATCCTCCGCTGACGACTGACGACTGGCCGCGCTTCTACCGCGGATTTGTCGGTGCACAAGGCGCTGGGACTTGCACAGCTGATTGCAGAGGGCAAGGTTCCACTGAACTTACAGGACTCATATGTGGGTGGCTTGTAGAGTTCAGCGGGTTGTATCTAAGACAATTGTGTGCTCACAAGATGCCAGCTGGAGGAGCCATGAATCAATCCAGATTCCTTGTGCTTTTGCGAGTTGACGAGAGTCAAGTATATACTAGATTCCTGTATAACGGGCCGCGCTTGCACAGCTTTCGAGGACAAGAAAGTCTGAAGCTCAAATTGACACGTTCAAGTTTCCAAAAGCTGGCCTGAATCAACGGCGATTTTCTGGGAGTCCGGCAGAAGTGAAGAAGGCTGCATAGTACGGCGTAGCATTTGGATGCATCACTTCATCCACACGCCAATGTTGCTTCTTCTATAATAGATTTTATTCTGATGACAATGTAAAGGAGCTCTTTGACCTGTGCCCCTGTGCCCTCCAACCTTTCGGCTGTCAGACAGAGGTCGTTCAGTTGGACCTGGCTCTCCTCTTGGCTGGAACTCGCTACCGGGGTGACTTTGAGGCGAGGCTTCGACACCGGTCGACGTGTCTTCCGGACGATGTTCGTCGGTGCTCAGGAGCGCTTGCGGGCTGTTGTCAAGGAGGTCTCCGAAAGCCGCCGGCGGGTGATCCTCGTGGTGGACGAGGTGCGCAGCGGATATGGGGTTAGAACCGTGCGGTGCTGCACCCGCTTTTTGGGATAGTGCTGGCAAGGACAGAAGAAGGATGGGACAAGCAGAGCAAGAGAAGAGTCGGGTCATGACAGGTCATGAACAAAGCTGGCATACAGCGTGCTCATTATGTAATCATTATGATTACTGTAATTTTGCATCAACTATTTGCACTGACTACCTTGCAAATCCTTTACTGTAAGCCTTCCCAATACAGTCAAATTCCATCAATGTCTTGTCGGAAAATAGGGACAGTGGAGGTCCCAAGGATAAGAAGGCATGAAACCCTTACTACACAGATGTATATAAAATATGAATGCTAGCAATCTTCTTGAATCCGAACTTAGACAGGTACCGTTGGATAAAGGAGGCTAATCAAGCTTCCCTTTACTGCAGCTTTTTGCTGGCTTTCCATTCCACTTCACTTGAGGTCCATACTTTAGTTGGTGCTGGCAGTGGAGGGGATAGCGGTGGTGGCATGGACGCAGTGCCCTGCTCAGGAATGACAAGAACGGAACCATTTTGGGTCATTTTTAGAATGTCAACCCCAGCTGTGCAATTCTAGAGCTTGAATCAACGCATTCCTCTCAAAGCACTTCGGAGTACTCGAATTGTGTTTTGTATGTTGATGTTTCGTTGATGTCCAGTATATACCGGTTTCCATATTGCAGTCCCAGCCGCCCTTGCCATTTACATTGGAGCTGGGATGGAGGAAGAAGATGGAAAAGTAGAACCACTTGCTTCCAAGGCAAACCTGCTCAAGCCCGCGCTTGCACGGGGAGAGTGTGAGCCTTGAGGGGACAGCAGCCAAGATCGCAAGAAAGGGTTCATGGTGACTGTGTGGAAAAGCCTGGAACATAATATAACAAGACTTAGAAATTGACCTGGTGGAAGGAATTTCACTTGCGAGGTTGCAGTGCATTGGAGCAACCACTTTGGACGAGTGCTCTCGATTGTCGTGCTTATAGTGCAAAGCTTCAGATTTATTAAGACACACATTAAGTAATTAATAGATTCACCTTAAGTCGTAGACCCGTATTGATTCTTAGCAATCCCGAGATCGAGAGAATGTTCCTTTTGAACTGGGACCCCGACAAAATGTTAATGTTACACACTATGCCTTGCAAGCATTCTTATCCTTATACGGATACGCTTGTTTTTCCACATCACTGTGTTTGGTTTGATATCCATCAGTCTCTTGCCTTCTCCTCCTGCCGCCTCTTCATCCGATTTCACTATATAAGTATATAGCATCCATTCTCAACACACTCATATCTCCGTTAACACTACGACACTACGATTCATGTCACCGACACTTATACAAGTCCCCCCCACTCCTATCACCCGCACTCCTCACCTTCAAAGCACAACACTCATGTCACCAACACTCAGGTTGCAGTGCTAAGCTGCTCAGGTTATATACTTCATGTTACTTCCACACTGGAAGCACTCTGCCTGTGGGAGTGCCGCCACGGGGACGGGCTGGATTTTCAGAGAGCATCCTGAACATTCCTTGTGGATGATCGTTTCAGGAAGGGGGCTCATGGGAGAATAGATAAAGGCAGCGCAAACTCTTTGGGAATAACATACTCTCCCGGTTTTTTACGTATCCTTTTAAAGGCTTTTTTTTTTTTTGGTTACGTTAGTTGTCAGATCCAGGAACAGGACACGTTAGCGATGCAAAAGTTGTTTTTCCAAACATGTGATTTGGACAGGTTAGCTGCTTAGAGGTCATTGGCTGGCAATGTGATCCTGGGGATCTAGATTAAAATCATTATGAAAAAATCTGAATCTTGGTGTGGGATACTGAGCGTTGGCAAGTGAAGTGCTGATGTCCCGCAGAAATGTGGCTCTAGAGTGGGATATCCTAGGGCTTACCACTCCACCATGTTGCCCAATGGGCAGCCATTTGTGACGGCGTGGCCTTCATCTCGGCAAGCAGTCAGCATGAAGGACACTCCAACACAATGTTTGGAAGAAGCAGCTGGCTGGTGCAAGACGGTGCCTCGCATACATATCCCACCCACACCCACAAAAGGGATGCTGAGAGTAGTGTGACCCTGCCTTTGAAACAAGACCAAACATGTCCTGGGGGGGGGTTGGAGTTTCGAGTCGCCTGATTTTGTGGCATGTTCGCGTTGTGGGCGCGGCTATGTTAGTGGGTGTGCGGTGGTATGTGTGTAGTCCTCATGCGCTCAGCAATGAGGTGATGCAGCGTGCTCTGGAGTTCAGCAAAGATCTGGAGGGTAGACCTTTGCTTCGTCATGGAGGAACTCTTCGAACATCCTCTTTCTTTTCTGGGTCTCTTGATATGCTGTCATATGTCATACAGTGCCTGTACTTTTCCAAGGCACCCTCCAAGACTTCCAAGACATTTGCTGTTGGTGACCGTGCGATTACAGGATATGTTAGGTCTTCATTGGGGAAAACAAATCGTTGCGATTCACCTCACACATACACACTAGCTTTTGACCATAATTAATTAACGTGTCCTGGATACAACTGTGATGTGTTTTTCCCACTCCCTATCCAACCCATGGTGTCAACATGATATGGATGCCTTGACATTCCATTTCATGGCCTGGCGCGGGACATGTTAAGGCGCATTCCGCTATACTTCCCCCCCAATGAGGTTGGATGCATCATCAAGAGCTGCTGCTATTCTTCAAGCCCAAGATGGTTGTGGCGTGCAGTTTCAGCGGGCGTCTTGTCAATTGAATGTGTGAGGTTGTTGTTTTCTTTGCTGATGGCCTTTTGGGACAATGGAGAGGGTTCAAGTCCCTGGTCAGCAAACATGACCTGAGGTGAGTTGCTGCGATGTGGATCAAAATGTCCAAGCGGGCTTGATGAAAGACCCCTTTTTTTCAGGACCACTGTGTCTTTGAAGATGCAGCTTGGACGATCTGATCTACTGTATACTGTATACTGCAGGTACTGTATGCATACCGTACAGTAAATATTATATACTGTACATGTTACCGCTCTTGGTTTGTGATTCTACCTTAGTGTTACTTCAGTTTCCAGATTTCGAGACAATCAGCTTACATAGCCCTGGCCAGATCCAGTTTGGGACTTGTCGTCGTGTCACTTTTGTCTTTTGTTTGGGCTTTGTAGCAAGAGAAAACACAACAACAACAACAACAACAACAACAACAACAAGAGGGCTAACATATCCCAATGCACACGCTCCATCTGAGGTACTTCAAACATTGGATCGGAAGACACGGGCCAGGTTGCATGGGGTTACAACCATAGAGCACATCAAGGTGATCTTGGAGCAAGCTGGCTTTGTGTCTCGTGCGCGTTGCCTACGACATTCGCTAAAACCTGGTGGATGTGAGCTTCCTCGAGCTGTTGATATCGTTTCTTGACATTGCATATGCTTCACATACTGTTTATGTGTACTAACGTAGACACATACTGTAGTCCACAGTCCACTGAAGCTTTCTCCCCAGCACCTTTCGCCAAGGATCTCAGCGCGGTTTCCTGCAAGGATGACAGTTTGGCTGGCAAGTACGCTCAGCATGATGGACCCGGCAGGATAGCAGCACTTACACACTTCAGGCACCAGGACATAGTCAAATGGCATACAACATTGCACATCGGAAACTACTGTTTATAGGGCAAAAGTATTATATATATATATATTGGTAGTTTGTTTTTGCATCTGGTTGATCTTGTACCGTACTTGTTAGTGTACCCCTGCCAGATACCAGCTCCATGCCAAGACCAAGCTTATGCTCTTGGAAAATGTCTGTACTGGAAGCATACACCGACTCACGGCAGAAGAGCTATCAGCAAACAATGCATGCGAGATCAAGGTCATCCACGCACGCACAGATGATTCTGGGTACGGTGGCGTCCGTCGCCGGCGTGGCTGGTCTCTTGGAAGAAATTTGGGCAAGTGGTTCACTCTAAAGTGCATGGATTGAATTGCACTAACATGGACATCCCTTATCATTTAGGGAAGTCTCACAAACAAAGGACAATTGCTCTTCGACGTGGTTCTGGTCGGTTCCTGGCAGAACCTCAAGCTGCCTATGACTTTTTGGCGGATGAGTTGAGAAAGAAGCAGGTCGACGTCCCTGCCCTGTTCTGGTGCAGAGATGAGAGATTGAAGCTTTGTTGCAATAAAGCAATTACAAACAGTGGCAGTGTGGCATTCCATACACCATACCACAAATACTCTGTGAGTGAGGGGACATGTTAGGTACAGTACATACAAGAAACCATGAGGCATTTTTTAGTGAGGGTTTAGAGCCGGGAATCTGTTGCCACCGAGGCTGGCAATTGAGCGAAAGGCTTGTGCTACGAAAGGAAGAGATCCCAGCTCGACGTTTGAGTCCCTGGGACATGTTTGCTTGATGTTGAATCCCAAACTGGTTCAGC